ATTTCAAAGGCCGATATTTTCAAAATGATCTGCTGATTAACTGGAACTGTCAGACATAATATGTTTCCAAGAGAATGATAGCTCACCTTTATTATTATTCATTCCTAAAGATAGAAATGTTCTTTTTAAACAGTTTATTAGAAAACGTTTCTGCATAAAAACCACTGAGTATTAGTATATTCTAAGGGGAAAACCACCTTTCCCTACCTACCATCCTCAGTGACAAAATCATTCAGCTGCAGAAGTCTAAGCACCTGGTAAGCGCCAGGCACAGGGTGGAAGGGCTATAAAAATAAGGAGATACCGGCCTTCCCCTTGAAGAGCTCACAGTTCTGCAAGGAGAAGAGTGCTGCAAACAAATTAACTCTAAGAACAAAGTCTTAAGTGTGTACAAAGGACCTAGAAGGACACAGTAGAAGGTGCAATTTGCTTGAAAGATTTGGGTGAAACTCATCTGAAAACAAGATATTTTATCTAGGACTTAAAAATTGACTAAAAGAGGAGTTCGAGACATCGAAGACAGAAGGGCAGTGGAAGGAGAGCGCACTTCAGGGAGAGAGGATGACGTGTGCGAAAGGTGCGGACGAGAGGTGCGCGTGAACCCAGGGCTGGGACCTGGGGACAGGGACGGGGAGCGGGAAGGAGGTGCGAGCGGAGGGGAAAGGGTCAACTGGAAGGTTACGGCCAATCGAATCATAACGGGTGAGCTTCAGCAGTCTGGACTTTTTCCTAAGGCCCAAATGGAGTCCTCCACGTTTGTTACAAACGTCCAATAGATGACACACGCCCTGTTTACTGTAAGCACAGTGCTGACAGCACGTGCAGAGACGCAGGCCTGAAGGCAAGGTGACCCGGCGGGCGGCTACTGCAGTGTCTTCCAGGTGAGACACTATGGGACTCGAATTAGAACAGTAGCGGCCAGAATGCCGAGGAGGGCTGGACCCGAGCGGTATTTAGGACACAGGCTGACAGGCGCGTGGCGGGTGGGGGAAAAGGAGCGTGACTTCAGTTGTCAGCGTGGTTGGTGAGTGAATGATGCCGCCACCACGGAAGCTGCCAGACAGAGTCTGAGGCAAAGGTCTGAACGAGGAGACGCCGCACCGCGTTCAGGAAGCAGCGGCTGCGCAGCCGGGAGGGTCTCACGACCCTGGCCTGGCTCACCTGGAGGCAGGTGGGCAGGGGAAGATTAGAAAAATCAATCTGTGAGTCATCAGTGTATGGGTGGCGGCTGCAACCACGGATTGGAGGGGACAGCAGCTCACAGCGGAACCCATGCTGCGTGGTGACACTGTGGAAGGGGTAAGTTACGGTACACCCACTCGACTCGCTTTCCCACGGTCATTGAGTGTGACCATAACAACAACGACTGAGACAACGTGGAAAAGGGCCCGACGTGGTAAGTTACAAAGAGCAGAGCAGCCTGCAGTGACGTGCAAGAATCCTGAGACTATTACGCTGTGCGCAGGAAGCCAGACACAAAGAAGAGCTACTGAGTATTTCCACTGACCTGACATTCTAGATTAGACCGAACTAACCTTTGATGATAAAAATTCTTTCAGTGTTTGCCCTTGGGGGATGGGAAGATCCACTGGAAAATGGCAGGAAGGGATTTGCTGGGACGACGGGAATGTTCTAAGTCTGATAAGGGTTTTGTAGGAATACAGATGTCTGTCAAAATTGCCGGAACGATAAGCATTCCTGTGTACGAAAATTACACCTTACTTTAAAAAATGAGAGTACAAAGTTGCATATATTCATATAAACTAAGACAGGGGAATAGGCGAATACGAAAGTTACATCAGGGTAGTGGAGTGATGGGCTGTTTTCTTCTCGCTTAAGAATTGTCTGTAATTTTTATACACTCTTCTTAAATAAGAAGAAACTTCAAAACCTCAAATGCCTATAAATATTTACCGATTACCCACAAGAATGGAAAGCGTACTGTATTTTTTTCCCATAGGAAGCAGGAAAGAATCTCTACAATTAAGGACTTTACTATCTGAAGACAACAGGGAAACACAAGACACAGTAAACACGTCGATGTAAAATATCAAGAGATTCCTGGAACGAGGGGACCCTCCTGGTTCTGTTCTGAGGAGACTGAGGGTTTTGGGTTTTTTTGAAGAGTTTTTGCAGAAGCAAACGGTAAGTCCTTTTGTGAGGGGGGCGCGGCTGAGACGCCGGAGACACGCAGGCTGCACTTGAGGGAAGTCAGCTTCACCTGGCACTTGGGGACACTGGTCAGAGTACGAGTGACATGACGACAGGAAAGTCAGTTAATGACGGGGAAAACTGGAGACTGTGAGAGTCCGAAGGTCAAACGCACAGAAGACTCTTCTTGGGTTTCCGTGCTCCTGAGTTTATGAGTTGCCCTTTATCCCCGCAGTTCTTAGTAGTTTGGGAACCTTGTCTCAAGTTTCATAGAAAAGATAAGGAAAAATTATCTGACGAGAGAGTGACACCAATGACCCCCCCCCCAATAGTATTTTGGAGGTTTTGGGGTATACTCTGATGACAGTGATGGTGGCACCTCTCTTCTCTTCAGTCGCCTGTGACGGGTCGGGCACTGTGGCATTGCTTCACGTACAGCACTATCTCATCCGAGCTCTACAACCAGCCAGCAAAATACACAGTGACTTCCTACCGCCAATGAAGACACTGTACTCAAAGAAGCTGGGTAACTTCTAACTAGGGGCGGATGGACAAACACCTAGACTGGTGACCCCACGCACTGAACTCTACTGTGTCAGGGGAGGACTGATGGGGTCTCACTTCCATTCAGTCCCAAGAGCCTGTCCTGCGGGGTTTCTGGTAATAGCCTAATTACTGTTCCTTTCTGTAGTGTAGTTTATGCCATCACAAAACAGCCAATGAGGTTAATTACCACACAGCTGTAAAACTGCATACACATTCCAGTACCTGTTATTTAATAGCAGGTAACACTTGGTGCCATCTTGGGGCAATTACCGCCATTTTACAGAGAATGAAACTGGGACAGAAGAGATGTCAAGTGACTTGCCCTAGGTCACCGGGCTACCAAAGATTTGAACCTGGATAGCGTGGCAACCCAGTCCTAACCACTGTGCTCTGCCACCTCGATGTTTAAAACTGAGTTTTCAACTTCGCTATGTCAGCCTACCTGCTCCCATCTCAACTAATGCTGAAACTAGCCATCTGACTGGCACCTCTGAGCCCATTCTTCCCAGACTGCTTCATCAGAAGTTTACAGGTTTCGCTTCTCTCCACATACAGAACCCAAACCCTTCCCAAAATGCTGTATACACTGTCACCAGAGTGACTCTGCCCGATTCAGGGGCAGCAATGACACATTCCCTGAGAGTCTAGTGTTGGGCGGCTGAGCCATATGGACAGGCCAACGCTGCATCCTGACACCCTGACCGCAGCAGGAACAGCACACCAGGGCGCTGCCCTTATCACAGTTGGAAAGGTGACAGTGGGGACAAACCGTTCTGGCTATTTCCTGTCAGGCTGGGTGACTCACTGGAGGTGCCGAGTACCTGAGCCCCAATTCAAGTTGCTCCATTGAGCTGTCCACTCACATGCAGAAAGAGGAGTCCCCCATTCAAGCGGAGTGAATGAGCGCGGTGTTCCATCCTCCTCTCTGCCCTGTCTTGGGAGAGAGGCTGAAACGTGAACCACAAGGCAGGCTCCCCTCCACCTCCGCCAGGCGGTTACGAACTCTGAAACACCCACACAAAGCCCTCTTTCCTGATCGTCTAACTCTACGTCCGTTACGTTATTCAGGGCACAGACAACAGCAAATGAGGTGGGTCATTTGGATCATCAGAAGGGCAGCGGTCAAGTTCGGTAACATGGCATAAAGCCTTGACAGTCTTCGAGAGCTGGGCTGCCTCTCAGCTGTGGTTTCCTTGAACTATTTCCCAAGAATTCTCAAGTCTTTGGTTCTGAAGTTTCATCTGTCTTAAAATTACTTTTCCAGAAAGTCCTTCCTTTCCACAGCCTAAAATAAGGTCAGGACTGATATCTTGGCTGGGTATTCAGAGTCCCAGAGAGTCGCCCGTGAGTCTGGCCTCGCCTCCTGCTGGGAGGTGACGAGAAGAGGACACGGAAAGTCAGTCCTGACCCCACTTTCCCTGCCCTTCGATTCTTGCCCTGGGGGAAGGGGTGGGATAATTAAGAGTGTTCAAAGTCCAGCAAATTAGATTGGCAGCGTTCAAACTCTGGTCTTGTCCAAGAGGAAAATGCATAGTTTCTCCTAGAGCAGGAAGAACACAGCTTGCTTCTCCAGCTGTGACCTCTGCGTCATTTATACCTATCTAGGCGTAACTGTAAGTGGGGACTGTCAGCACTCAGAGAACGCTGCAAACAGCAAGGAAGTCAGCCTTTTGGTGAACGGCGCCAGATCGGGCTGCAGCTAAAGCAGGAAGCTGATTCTCCAGGCTCAGGAGCCCGGGGCAGACAGGGGGACCCCAAGTCAGTTCACTCCAACACGGTAGTTGAGGTAACAGGTGGTGTTGTCTCTGCTCCATGAACCCCAAGGACTTCTCAGAGAGACGGGAACTAAGACAGAGCCTTTAACTTTATATACTCACAAACCATCCCCTGGAAGCGTCATGTAATTATGGTTATCAGAGAGGGAATATCCCTGCCACCCTAAAAATGAAATGTGATTCAGGAAAAAAAAAAAAAAAGAAAGAAAATGACGGAATTATTTAGCAAGAATTCATGTAATTCCAAAAATCATTCTGTCCCTCTCTTGAGCAAGAGAAATGTTTTGGTCATCACAAGCTCTGCTAGGCTTAGTCAGATCAGTGCCAGGAATTCTGTGAACTGCAGGTCAAGCTGCCAAGATTCAAAAGAAATGTCGATAGTAAGTGTTTGCACAGATATCAGCGTGTGAGAGCTAACAGGCCCCGGCATGCAACTCCAGCCACGGTGCAGACAGGAAAGCTGAGTCTTCCCATTTTCCCCTTGTCCCATAAAATTTGACAAAACAAAACAAACAAAAAAACTCTTACCTAGCTCTCCCCGGAGGTTAACAAGTTCTTGAGACAGGGTCTTCTGTTGTTTCAGTGCTTCCTCCCGCTGCAGAAAACACACATCAAGTTACTGACGTTTGCAAGAGGGTCCCTTTCATTAAGGTACACGTTTGTCATCACCCGGAAAACGAGCCCCACAACTGAGAAGCCAAAGATACGCATCATTTAGGCTAACAATTTGTGTTGCTTAAAAAAACACAGTCATCCTTTAGTTGTTAAGGCAATTCGTGTCTCAAAAATCTGTATTTTCGCAGGTCCTCGTGAAACTTTCATTTGAGGCAGTGACTGGCCCGTTAAAAAATATTTACTTTGAGCCAATGTTTCACTGCTGATCCAGAGAACCTTCCGGCTAATGCACGCCGTGCTTCAGACATAATGCGTTCCGTTCTCCTCCTCCAAGGACAGTAAAGACCTGATCAGTTTAAGATAAATATTTAATGTTCTAAACACAGGCGCTTATACATACTTTGTGCTATACTCACAAATAAAAAACTTTCGTTACAAGACCAACGCTTTATTTCTAAAAGAAAGACAAAAAGTTTGTTATACAGCTGCCGCAGATAATCTTTTAAGGACAAAATTGATTTTATTCAGCCATGCACTATTTTCTAAGAATTATCGTATTGTGAGTCAGCTATAATTCTAAACAGATGTTAAGAGAAACAAACCAAAGAAACCCAGGTAGCTGTTTTAGTATTTAAAAAGCAATTATTAACCTTGGGATAAATAATTTTCAAGTCACCAGCAACTCACGGAAATCACTATCACACACACACACGCTTCCACGCATACAGTAATTAGACACAGTGCCTTAAAAGAGTAGATTCCCTAGCACCAGGGCGTAACTAAGGAAAAGGAAGAATTCCAAAGCTCTCTGAAAAATGCCCTTACTGGGATCACCCAAGACGGAGCTCTCACCGCATCTTGATCACCGTATTGCAGAGATCATGGGACCCAGCCTTTGCAGCAAGAGTTGCTTGTCATTCAAAGCATTTCCCCTAATTCCAGACAACCTCTGCAGCAGTCCCTGACGTTCTTCCAGAAAAGCACTATAAACAAACACTAATTACCCTCGTTGCTGCACATGGAGAATAGAGGCACATTTTGCTGCTGGGGCAGCCCATGTTCCAGCTTCTGTCTCCAACTCCCCCCTCCCCTTCTCGCACTATCCGGGAAGTGCACAGGTGGCCGCACCACCCACCAGGCGGGTCTGTCTACATTCAAAGCTCTACCGGGAGGTGCGCCATTGGCCCGCGGGCAGCCTTACTTCGTCCTGCAGGTTACCGTAAGCCTCAGACTCCTCTCCCCCGCAGAAGCTGATACTGCAGCCTCTGCCTTTGGCACAAGCAGCCTGCGATCACTTAAAGCCACAGCCCTTCATTTATGAAAAACGAGAGGCAGACGCTGGACTGATCGATTGCCACTTAGTTAAATATCAGCTGGAACGGTGGAAAGAAAAACGGGCCCTCTCTGCATGGATAATGGAGTTATTTTTAGATTTGTGAGCCTTTTCCACTCCCCTCTCTAATTGAGGTCATTAGGTTATTACGCTTACTAATAGAAAAGGGAAACTTGCTCTTCCAAACCCATATACGAAATGAGGTTATGAACTAGGTGACGGGCAATGAATGAAAGGGGCTGTTTGTGACTTAGGATTTTAAATGACTTTACAAAATGAATGGTGCTTCCCTCCGAATTTAATTTGACCACATAGAACGTGGTCCAATGGTGTTTTTACAAAAAAAGTCTGAAGTACTGATTTGAGCATTGGAGATCACATGTATTTTTTTTTTTTTTTTTTTGAGGCAGAGTCTTACTGTGTTGCCCTGGCTAGAGCGAGTGCCGTGGCATCAGCCTAGCTCACAGCAACCTCAAACTCCTGGGCTCATGCGATCCTCCTGCCTCAGCCTCCTGAGTAGCTGGGACTACAGGCATGCGCCACCATGCCCGGCTAATTTTTTCTATATATTTTTAGTTGTCCAGATCATTTCTATTTTTTTCTTTCTTAAGTAGAGACGGAGTCTCGCTCTTGCTCAGGCTGGTCTCAAACTCCTGAGCTCAAACAATCCGCCGGCTTCGGCCTCCCAGAGTGCTAGGATTACAGGCGTGAGCCACCGCGCCCGGCCGATCACATGTATTTTTAACATTCACTTTGTATTTGTCTCTCAGTAAGAGCCAAGGAAGTGAGTGCTAAACACCAGCACTGTCTTGTGAACAGTTAACAGCGACTCGAATTTAAGAAACACTTTTTCACTGAGTACCTTTTGGCCTCAATGGTGTCCTAAATGCTCGACTTTAAAAAAAAAAAAATGTGGTATTAAGTTGTTCTGAAATCACAAATCAGTGAGTCTAAGTTTCAAAAATAAGTAATTGGTTTTCTAATATAGAAATTAAAGTTTGAGGAAAATCAGCCTGGATAATAATAAAAGAAAAACCTAAATATATACTTCTCTTAATCCCAGATTTAAGCCTTATTTTTATTTATTTAGTAATCTACGTCAAGTAAATATCAGCAAGTTTTGTCACTCAAGGCACAGGAAAAGCAGAAGACAGCTTTACTAAATACCCACAAGCAATTCCAAAGCACATTCAGTAAATTTACTTAAAATTCACTTTCCAACAGTAGCCAAATTGCTAATAGAAGGAAGAGACAGAAAGAAAATCAAATCACTCTTCAAATTTATGCAAACTAAAGGGAAGATGAAAAAATTAAAAATTATAGTTGGTATAATTTTGAAGCATAATTTTACGAAAAACCGTTATGTTCTATCACAAATATATACCGGGTGATATTTTTGCTTATTAAAAGGGTGTTGGGAACAGGGGATTTCAGTATGCACGTGGACATTTCCCCCAACCCCACCACACTCAACCTTCCTGTCCCCAATGCCTCAGAAGCCACTGACATCTTCCCACCTCTGTCAATCACAGCAACAAAACAAGAAAACCCTGAGGTCCTCCCTCATTCTTTGTCTAAATGGATTAACAATTAGTCAGTTCTTCCTTCACAATGTGTCTGAATCCACTGCACTTTTCCTACTAGTGCTACCTCCACTTTAGTCCCGATGTGCATCAACAGATTCCTGAACTATCAAAAACATCTCTTCACCTTTCAGAGAGCTACTCGATTATCATTCCATATTCTTTAAAAATTTTTTTAGAGACAGGGTCACACTGTCACCCAGGCTGGAGTGCAGTGGTTGAGTTCACTGTAGCCTTGAACTCCTGGGATCAAGTGATCCTCCTGTCTCAGCCTCCCAAGTAGCTGGGACTACAAGCAGCACATCGCACCAGGCCCAGCTTTCTTCTTTTCTTTTTTTTTTTTAGAGATGGGGTCTTGCTATATTGCCCAGGCTGGTCTCAAACTCCTGGCCTCAAATGATCCCCCTGCCTCAGCCTCCCAAAGTGCTGGGATTACAGGCATGAGCCACCACACCATATTGTTTGTACATGTAAACTCTTTTCCTCAAAAAGAGCCTCTCATTGAATGCATTAAAAAACAAACCGACAAAAAAACAACACACTTCCCTGTGTAGTTCCACGGACCTGAATCCTCCAGCTCCTGTGTAAGACTCCCAGCCTCTCTTCTGTCCAAGTCACATGTGCCACGCATGTCTCAACTCCACAATCTTGTCAATGTCACCCTCTCAGGAACGCCGGGCTTTCTTCACTGACCCACTGTGGAAACCTTCTGGGAATGCTAAATGCCAACTGTAGACACCATCCCTTCCCCCAAATGCCTAGAAAGAACATCTAGGCTTCTGGACTGGTTGGCAAGTTATTACTCAGAACCAATTAACCAAGCATTATTTCCACAGTAGATGTTATGAAAATACAAAAGAAATTTAAGATATGGTCCCTGCCTTCAAGGAGCCTGGGACCTAGGTGGAACTAAGACGTCCAGGCCCAATTCTTTGGTTAGCTATCAAAGCAGATGACCTCACCGGAGGGGAAGCAATACAGGAATACAATAATAAAAACCAAAGGCTTTAAATATGAAAAATGCTGACCACGATGCCTATACCATCATAGACACATCCTAAGTGTTAGTTTCTGCCTGATTCTCCCTGGTAGCTTGCCCTTCACAGGTATTGACCCTCAACTTATAGATGATAAAACACACTGTATCACTTAGACACTGATTTGATTTTTTTATTCAGCTGCTCCTAGATCAGTGTTTGTGTTTAAACTCTTAACAGTCCAGATGACACGTTTATTTAATTCTCTCTGTATCGTAACACACAGAATTCCACGCAACGTGAAAAAGGGAAAGGCGGGAATCTGAACAGAAAGATGTTTTATGTTCATGCATTAAATATATGAAGTGCTCCAAGAAAAAAAAAAAAATGGATTCACCATAATTTAATTAGGAGTCCCTGGGACACAGGCACTCAGTCTCTGGCCGTCGTCCCATCAGTGTGCCTGAATTTTGCTAGCTACTGAGCAGCATCGACAGCAGAGGAGATCTTGCAGAGAAGAGCCGCGTCAGACGGCTCAGCTGTGTGCTGTGTGACCTTCTCCCCACCGCGTACCCACACAGGGAACTGCTCAGTGCGTCCACCCTTTCCGTTGAGACAATTTTACTTACAGTAGACTGCTAACGTCATTCAAAACCCACCTTTGTTTAGGTACTACTTTAGGCTCGACTGCGCTTGCAAAAAAGACTTGGAGGCACTTTGAAGAATTAGTCAGAGGTTTGGGGGGTGACCTGGGTCCTGTTCAGGCTTACCTAGAAACCCATCTGTAGACCCTTTTCATGAATAAACTGGGATTACTACCATCGACATTGTCATTCACTGTGGCTGTCTGTGCAGAATACTGTTCCAATTATGCAAGCATAAACCAAGAATTAGAAGAAGTTAAAACTAACGTGGGTGTGTCCTTTGAGAAATAGTGATTGTGACATTGGTTTCTAGATACACGAGACATTTATTAGAACTTCTGCTACCTAATGTAATAATATGTCTACCACTGAAGTGGGTACGCTGAAGTTACTACATAGACTTGCAACAAAAGGACGAGTGATAATTCCAGGATGCCCTATAATCAGTCATTTTTACCCCAAATCTAATGCTCCAAAACCATTTAGAAAAAGTTAGCAATGATAAGATATATGTAAACATACACGTGATACTTAATTTATACATATATAAAAATACAAACATACAACATGCACGTGTACATATACATATATACATACGGTATACATACTTCTGTAATGGGTATGAGAAAACTAAAGGGTTAAGGGAATTTGTTTTAATTACTTAACTTTTGCCCTGGTTCCATCTTTCCTTTCTAATTGTTTTATAATAGTACCCGGTACACGTTAGGCAATCAGTAAATATTTGCTAGTTATAAAATGAGGAGAAAGATCACTTACATAAGGACTTTATCTTCATCTAATATCTGGCGTTCCTTCCACCTTCTCCACTCGCTTACTCGTTTACACATAGACCCTCTATCTACTATAGCTGCTAGGGTGGTTCCCTAAGAAAGAACCAGATGCAGATCCTGCCCTCAGTGAATCCTGCCCGTCTAAAAAACAAAACTGAGCACTTAACGGATCCCTCTAGTATAAAGTAGGGAATGAAAGAGAGGTATAAATGTTCCTGGAATCCAGAAGGTGGACAGGATATAGACCTAGAAGGCTCGGGAAAATCTTCATTAAAGGAGGGTGCTTTGGGGCTGTATTCAGTGGAGTCACAATTACAGGGCCTAAATTTAGCTATAAGGAAAAACTCACACCCAGTACAAGAGTCTTCAAAACTCATTAAGTTTGTCGGGCTGCAGATTGACGAAGCCTCTCTCAGTAGATCCAACCCAGCAACATTTTCCTCTAGGGTTGGCGTCCTCTTTCTCCAGCTGAGCACCTGCTAAAGGACTTGGCTTGGTTTAGGGGCCAGGCTGTATGTGGGCAAAGTATCTTTAAACACCAGGACTGCATAGAGTATGGAATGTTCATGCCACGAGAAGTGTTTAGAGACTGAGCGGACACCTGAAGGCAGGGCGCATTCCTATCCCTCCTCCAGAATCTACCCCTGGACCTTTGCTCACTGCGGGGCAGGAAAGGCGAGACTTCCTTCTTTATTTAATTTGCATTTTTTTTTTTATTTTAGTTGTTTGCGTGCTGAATCCACATAAGTTGAACCCAGGTGGTAATGCCAAGCTTCCGTACGACAGATCTGAGCATGCAGGTGTTAGGGGCAAGGGCAGTAGTCCAGCGATAGTATTTGAACAGAGGATGAAGAGGGTACAGGAAGTCTACAGCACCCTGTATCCTAGACCCTAGTTCAAGTCCTGGTTCTCCTCACGCTAGCTGTTTGATGACAGGCAAGTTACTTAATGATTCTCTGCCTCAATTTTCTTATTTGTAAATTCCAACTCATTGTGATTTTGGTGAGGACCTAATATGGTAAGTAAGACTATCTGGCACTTAGTAAATATTCAACAAATGAAGTTCCTCTTTAACATGCAGCTGGAGCGTCTGAGCAGTGGAGATGGCATTATAAAGGGCAGTTGGTGCCAAATTATAGAGAGTCCAAGTTATAAACCAGACTCTTCCAAAAAAATATAATGTGTGTCATGTAGGCAATTTTAAATTTCCTAGTAGCCACTTTGACAAAAAGTTAAAAAAGATAGTTAATTTTAATATTTTATTTAACACACATATATACAAAATGTCATTTTGATATAGTCAGCATAAAAATTGAGATATTTTGCAACTTTTTTTCATTCTAAGTTTGTGAAATTTTTGTGTATTTTACACTTGTTGCGTATCTGAATTCAGACTGATTACATTTCGAATGCTCAACAGCCTTGCAGTGGCCGCCATACTGGGCAGATCAGCTGTAGATAACGGAGAACCACTGAAGGTTCTCATCAGCAGGATGGAATGTTTTGGAAAGACAAAGCTGTTCTCTGTGCTTGGGGTGGATTATTGGGGGACAGAGTGCAAGCATAAAGACAGGTTACACAGTTACCATCATCACCATGGCTGCCATACTGGGCAGATCAGCTGTAGATAATGGAGAACCATTGATGGTTTTTATCAGCAGGATGGAACGCTTTGGAAAAACAAAGCTGTTCTCTGTGCTTGGGATGGATTATCGGGGGACAGAGTGAAAGCATAAAGACAGGTTACACAGTTACCATTGTCACCCAGAGGACAGTCATCCAGGGTCTGGACATAGGAGGGGCAAAGGCAGAAGAGGGGAAGAAACACTGTGGATGAGAATTCATTGATCTCAGGAGGAAGACAGAAGGAGAGAACAGCGTTGAAGATGGGGCTGTCAGGCTGGATATGGTAAGACAAAATAATTGGTTTATCTCTAAATACAAAAACTAACTGTTCCCTACATTTGATATTACATGGTTTCTGATTTAGCTTACTTGGTTATATAAACAAACTCTTGAGTTCCTTCCTTACAGATTAAAGAGAAATAAAAACACTGTGTACTATTGTAACTAAAAAACTAAATGTCTCTAACCTCCTTCTCCTAAAAAAAAAAAAAAACATATATATATATATATAGACAAAGCTGTAAAATATTCACCAGATATTCATCTGTCTACTATCCTGGTAGCTCCTCAAAGGCAAAAACCGCACCTAATTCACCTCTGCCTCCCCCTTCCTAAATAGGCAACCACATCACAGTAGGTGTATGAGATCAGTATGGGTTTGTTGGATTGAACTGAACCACAGAACCACCAAACTGAACCAGTTTTCTTCTTTTGAGATGTGATTTCTATCCGCCTTTAAAACAACTTTGATTACAAAATACCTACAGAGCTCAAGTTATGTTCTTATCCCAGTTTCCCCCTCAGATAATCAGAGTTTTTATTGCGATGTCAACAACATATGTTCACATACACTTGGTTTTCTCAATGAGTTTTAACCAGCTCCTGAATTAACATCCCTGTAGATTATCAGGAAAGAGGAAATGAACAAAGAAAATCTGCTTTGCTTTTGTTGGACCACAGATTATTTTAGGAATGGATGGAAATTGCAGGAAGAGTCCCCACATGTGATTCTGAAAGTTACCTCGAAACTGTTCTTTGACCTTTAATTAACCTCGTTTTTTCCAAAGCAGTAAACTAAGCATGATATAGAAAGCTACATATAATTAGACAAAAAATTAAGTGGAAAAAAAAGTTAATGCTAATTTAGGTGCAGAGGCAGATAAGAGTATAACAGGCCATTTATCTTTTTGCTATTGTCATTTTAAGCAAGAGACTCTAAGGGAAAAAAGGAAGAAAACGTTCCCATCTGAAACGTCTGGAGACCGAGTCAGGTATCAGGTGAGTTGAAACTGCGTAAATGACACCCTATCTTCCCAATCATTAACTTAAAGATAGTCACGAGGCCTGAGCATGAGCACTGTCCCCGTTTCCCCACCTCCCACCTGAGTGACAAAGACTGTTTTGAGGGCGCACATCCTCACCTCTGAGAGAAGATGCTGAATCACAACTGTCAATGCTTCGAACTTGGTATTGCCGCGGGAAAGAAGCTGCTTCAGCTGCAGGATAAATCCACTCTGGTTTTCACATTTGGTCTTATACTGAGCCAATTCAAGGGTTTTTTTGGAGGACAGTGCATCTGGAGACGTCTGCGTCTGGATACATAAACTTCTGGGATTCTTTTGCCTGCCCTTTTCAACTGCAAAAGGAATTAATGCAGGCACAGAGATACGTGATGTTAATTTTTACAATCACCACCACATGGGTTCAGAAACAACCAGATAAACCACAGAGAAGCATTTAAGTTATGTTCACATATGGGGCACATAGAGATGAGAACTGGAATTAATCAGAGATCTAGACGTCTGGAATTCACAAACACAGACGATGCCTTCAGTTCTGACTTTAAAAGATTTATATGGAGCAGAGAATCATGAGCACAAAACCAGTAGAGTTAGCAACCCAGAAACACAAAAATTGTGTGCAAAGTGATGTTCATTTCATAGTTTCTAGTTTTCCGGTTAAATTGGCAGAGGAACCTGACTGTGGCTAGTATCCTAACTATTCTGATCACAGATGCTGAAAGAAAACCACAAATGATTGGATTTGAAATGTTTTTCCCTCCTCCCTCCACATTTTCTACAAATGTCTCATCCTTTCCCTGAGGGCGGCCTGGTCATTACAGAGATTTATATTGCAAATGTGTCATTTTCCAATCTCTAATAAATCATCACATACATTGAAAATCTACTCACATTTTACCTCATCAAGTTTACTGTTAAGAGTGCTGTATGTCTGACTACACTACTCGATTTTCTATCAAACACAAACTTTGTTGGTTCTTTTTCTGACAGCAGTGATAATGCTTCTAAATATTTTTTTAAAAGCACATGCTAACACTCCAAATCCATCTAAGATGCCACACTGTGATTATTCTCTTCCTAATGCCATGGTGCCCAGGGAATTACTCTATTGTAAATGAAAAACTGTTCAGTTTTGGAACCATTCCAAATGTGTCAGGCACTTTAAATACCAAACAGAATTGGAAAAACAGGAAACAAACTGCTTAGCTTCTTGAAATAAACAAGTCAAATAATCAAAACATATCTAAATCTGGAGGAAAAAAAAAGACGCTAGAAACAAAAAAAAAAATCTTTCCTTATCCTAATAGGCTTTCTCTATGTCATCCACATTTTCTGGTAACAAACAAACCTAAGACAACTTTTTAAGCAATTAGTAATTATTTCCTTTAATTGTTCAGGGAGGGGCAAACTACTACAGTGTTTGCGTGAAGGAAAATAAACAAAGAAACCTCAGTATTCATGTTCCAAGAACCAGTGGAAAATTACACTCAATATACTCTAAGTTAAAATCAGAAAAAAAGGCTCTCACTTCCTATGGTTGCATTAGATGGTTAAACAACTCATTTGTATTAATACATGATAATTCTCAGTTCTACAATGACTAAGATATCCTTTACGTTCTCATTAATACTTGAAGAGGGGGGAAAGTATTTATCCACTCTTTATTATTAGCAATTATTAATAGTGGCTTATCAGTGACTGTCATTTCCATAGCATATGGAGAAAACCACCGAGTTAATACTGTTGTAATATTACAGTCCTGAAGGAAGAACTAATTATTAGAGTCACTTACTATATTAATGAAAAATAATCCATTGGACAACTTGTCAAATATCTGAGGTTAGTATTCCTTTATGTCATTTCCTAAGTGTTCTTAAAGATTATATTCATCACGTAACATCATAATTACATAGTGTTTTACTGTTCACAGAGCGTTCTCACTTTCCCTCTCTTGATCCTCCCAGGAACCCTGGATAGGGAAGTGGGGGGATCATGGATGTGGAGGTGCTTGCCCCAGTGTAGACAGCTTCTATGGGATAGATTCAGAGTCAGAACCCAGGCTTCTGATGTCATGGCACTGCCGTTCCCACATATTTTGGAAAGTGGATTAAGTAGACACACATTGTAAATAAAAAATATTTATGCAATAAGCTTAACAAAATGCCACTTTAATATATTCAAGCCCATTATAGCTCATTTAAATAAACCTACACATAAACATTTGTCATAATTTTATAAAAACACAACAAACTTAATTCTTTGACTATCTAGATTCTAGACAGTCCAAATTCTAGATTCTAGAATTTACCACAACATAGATATAAATTCATTCTTCTGATATCATTGCTGTATGTCCTATCAATACTTACTTTAAAATTTGATTGGTAATTGCTTTATCATTTTTTGAGGCCTGAATAACATTTGATTCTCATTCTAGAATGTCTATGATAATCAATGTTATTATTTAACACAAAATTAAGAGTTTTAAAACTGTCAGGTTATAACTATTTACAAAATCTGGGAGGTGAATCTTCTACGGTAATATTTTTGTAGAAAATATTCTTAGTTTTTTTCGTATAACAAAAATATTGCATAACACATATAAAACAATGTTTACTTTTTCAGGGAAGAGAATAGGAACCAGACAGATGAAGGATGTCCTAAGGCATTTTTTTATACCCTTTAACCATGGGGTAAATGTATTACCTATTTGAAAATTAAACATAAAATTAAAAAATAAAATTATTTTTAAAAGATGGTTAAAGTGAATTTTGAGCCCTTAAATCTTTAACAGCTATCCATCAAGAAAACATGTTCATCTGGAATTCTTCCTTGGGCGATCTAGAAAGGAATCTAAAGGTTACACAGGCTTTGCGACTACTCAGAGGAGGTTTACAGTTAAGAATAAAAGATCGCGTTGACGTATTCTTTTAAGATAACGTGTCTCCAAATTTCAACATAACAGCAAATAAGCAGGCAGACTTCCCTCTACCTGGAGCTGGCAAAGCGCGTGGTGACCTCCGTCTTCCGCTCCATATACTGTGCTCCCCAAGGCTAGAATCACACCACATGGCAGCCGGTGACCCAGTTTGCACACCCTTCCCTCTCTCCTCACTCCTGGCTCAAGTGAAGATCAGAGAGCATGCAAAAACCTCCAGTAATGCTCAAAGCCCTAAGGCTCATAAATACAGGAATTCGTTAATGCTGAAAAACCACGAGTTTTCCTTAAATCCTACAGGATTCATTATTTACGTGAAACTAGCATAATCCGAGCCAAACCTTGCACTTAGATGATGTTTATCGACATGTTACTGTTTTGATAATGCAGCTGTATTTACAAGTATAACATATTTTGTTTATCATGCCTATGCACAGGACACATTCTGATTTCAAAGGATCAATTTAATCGGAAACCTTAAAATTCAATGTTGACTTCTGCATCAACTCAGATTTCTCCCAACAAGATAATTAACCACCGTTCAGCTCTGACCCAGCCTTCCTGGGATTCACTCTAATGACACTGAAACCTCCATCAGGAAAACAAAGTCCTGAACCAAATGCATTGGCTTACCTGAAAAACAGCTGCATAGCATGGTTTGCTATCTTTGTTCTTTCTACTTAGAAACCTTGATTTAACAAAAATTTAAAACTAGCCCAGTGAACTCATTTATCATCTTCTTAAAGCAAGCAGTTGGGTAATGAGGCTCATTCTTCAGACTCAAGTCTCCCAGGCATATATAGTCAAGACCAAAGACAACTTTTGAGAACAAGGCTTAACCATTAAGACACGGACTAACCATCATCACACACTAGCAGCTACGGACACATTTATTCTAAGGCCAAACAAGCCATACCGTTACTGAATCTACTGGTTTTCCAAATTATTAAAATCAAGTCAGATAGAGGTAGGATCTACTAAGAGTTTGCCTTGGGTCCCATGAAACACAAAACTAAACCCAGAATTCAGTAACTAATGTTGTCTAATTTTTTGTGCACTCATTGACCTACTCATCAAATTTTTATCAAGACCTACCACGATGGCATTGCTGTAGTGTGGGCGGACCTGCCTTGGTGCCTTGGGGGGTGGCAGGGGAGGCATCACAGAGAAGATGGCGTTGCTTAGGGACACACGAAGACACCAAAGATCTCTGTTGACTCATGTTTCCCTGGTGTTAATCTCTTGCTGTTCAACTCTCAAATATCCACCTATCTGTATAAAGGTGACAGTCACCAGGTGGTATGTACTTTCCACTACATATTGCATTAAAGAGTAATGTCTGTAAGTTAATAAAATGTAGGCAATGAGCTCAGGGGCTGGTGAGGGGTCTCTGAATCTCTGCCAGCAGCCTGGACAGGTAGCCAATTCCCTTTTTTCCTGCCTTCATCTAAAGCTACATCCATAAAAGCCGTAACAGGGACACCTATACGCAGTTCTTTATGTTTCCTCAGCATTTGATGACAGGTGTTTACCCTGGGACACTTCACAAAAACAAAGCATTAAAATGGGAATTATTGGGAAATATGTTTTCGAGTAAGTATTTGGATATGAAACAATCACCCAAACGACTACTGCTCATTCCCTAAATGTCTATGGGATACCTTCCTAACAAATTGGTCCTTGCTCTCGAGGAACTTTCTAGATACTGGAATTGTGTACACAGTGTGGTGGGAGTATAGGCAGAGGGAGACCCAGATCCGGGCGGTCAAGAAGGGCTCCCGAGAGGCAGAGTCTGGGTGCACACTCGCACATTTGGCAGACAGGTGAGCAGACGGGCCCCCGCAGGGAAGGGAAGGCAGCAAACACAGGGACAGAGGGCACGAGGGCTCCCGGACGCCATCCATCACAACACAGTCGACGCTCCCGAAGCTGAAGTAAAAGCAAGCGATGGAAATGTAAACAGGGGCGAGAGCACGGGCACCGTGCAAGGTTTTGTCCTGTAGGAGGCAGGGAACAACCTGAGCTGGGCCTGGAGGTGCAGTGCAGGAAGCTGTGCAGAGGCAGAGAGGGCGGGAGGCCCAGGAAGGGAAACACTTGGGCCAGTGGCAGTGCAGCAGGCAGGGAAAGAGGACGGGGTTTGGGAGGTGGAAGAGGAGGACTGAGTGGCCACCTGGACCAGGAGGCATCCAGGAAACCACATCAAGAGGAGACTAGCTCAGGGAACAAGGGTGAGGGCAGAGGGAGGGAGGGGCCAGGCTGGGATGTGTTGAGGAAGGTGCAATGACATTCTCCAGCACTGCTCCTGATTACCCAAAAACAGTCTATTCTAAACTCACCTGCCTTCCAAGTGTAATCGCCCGCCGGGTCATTTTCCTGACGTCCTGAAGACTGCCCCCC